TCTGTGGAGGCCTGTAGTGTAGTTCTTGTTCCCGTTCAACATAAATTTAATTGATCGAAAGCACTGCATGCTCATGTACATTGTAATAAAGGTTGTACGATGGCTGGAAAAAAGTTGCTCTCCCTACTAATAAATGTACTAAACTGGCTCAAGGTGTAAACCACAATTATCCAAAATAACACTCTACCAGTGACATGCACAGATTTGTGAGTTCATTCTGATAAACTCTGTACAGCAGATTTGTTTTGATTTCTAGGAAATATATCTTGGGTTGTCTCACTTTATAAAACAGTGTCATCCAGGTATTTTTTCTCACCATGTCTTACCATGCTTTCCAGCTGAAATATCGTAAGATGAAAGAAGATTTCTAAAGATACTGTGGGCTGTAATTGTTGTTACTTCAGTTTGTCAAAAAAACATGCCATTCAAGTGTAATTCTACATTTTTCCATATACTTAAAGGAATATCAAATCCTCAGTCATCAGCCTGCATTGTTTTGCAAGACAGTGAGCAAATTGTTGATATTATAACAGGAAATCATGATACTGTCTAATTGAAATGTTGTATTAAGATGTCTTGCACCAAATGACACATGTTTTGATTTATAAAGGGGATAAATATTTGAGGGCAGTTTTCTCTAAGTAGCTTGTTAATGTATCTATACATAAAGGCAATCCACCAATTTTTAATAACAGATAAAGAAACTATTGCTTTTATAATAACTTCTAAATCGCATAATTGATGGTGGATATTGATAGGTGCTGAATCATTGGTTAGACATCTACATAGAGAAGGAATACCCATTGCAGTATCAACAGGATCCTCTGCATATCACTTCAACTTGAAGACACAGACCAAACACAAGGAAATGTTCAAACTATTTCATCACATAGTTTGCTGTAGTTCAGACTCAGATATCAAACATGGTAAACCTGCACCTGACGCTTACACTGTGGCTGCAAATAGATTTGATGGTGGTTCACCTAATCCACAAAATGTAAGTAGTAATGATATAGAAGTAATCTATTTCATCACATAGTTTGCTGTAGTTCAGACTCAGATATCAAACATGGTTGCTGGTAACATCAAAACGTGTATACACATAATCAGACAGCCATATTATGAATGGGGAGGCATCATTAACCACAATATTTGACAGTACCATAGTTGCTGCTATGACATGTGTGCATCTTTGCCTGTGTCTCCATCTTAATCGGACATGCTTGGACCAATTACATTCAAACTTTACACTTCTTTGGATACATGTATGAACGTCCATTCATTTTATGATCTGATGTAAGATGGCCGAGTGGTGGTCATTTTTGTGCTACAAATTCATTAAAATCAAGCATTTCTGCCATTCCAAAATCAGATCTTGTATAAACGGATTTCAATCAAACTTGGTACAAACATCAGACATGGGATCTTGAAGCAAGTCATTTTGTTTTTCTGATCGGATTTAACAAATGTTGTTCCAGAACTTTATCTCAGACATCCCTTGACTGATCATGTTCAAACATTATATGTACATCATGTTGCACAAATATTTGACAATCCATTTAATGACAATGGTTGCCTTTTTAATGTTTCATCAAAATCACGATCTGTATTTCAGTCTTACATAGATGTGTACATTGAACATTATGAGATCTTGATGCACATCCTTTTGTTTTTCAGATAGGATTCAAAAATGGTTGACTGGTGGCCATTTTGTTTTAGTGAATACAGTTCTGAAGCCATATCTCTGAAATACTTTAATTATTTTTTAAACAGGGACTATGTAATTACTTGTTTTCATATTGTCACTGAAGACATGAATCAGTGAAAATAAAACATATCGGTAAATAAACCCAGTATAAATTAAATATAAATGTATTTTCTCACATATATTCAACTCATCAAAACTCGGTAAAAATAAACTTCACACAAAACAGCCAAAATGTCTTTTCACTGAAAAGTATTCTGCAGTATATCATTATTCTTGGTTACTGTAGATTAATTTATTTTTAGCTAGAATTTTTTAGCCTGACAAGGTCGCGCCCTCCAAGGTGTTCCAAACCCAACACACGCCTGACAGAGCGATGTAGTTTTTCACTTCCCCCTCCAGACGATTTATTTGTCAGTACCAATCAAATTGCAGGAACGTCAGATAGTGACAGCCATCAAAAGGTAACCATTCATGGCAGAGTTTATTTGTTTGACATAATGTGTGATAAGGTGCTGGTAAATTTATCATATGTTGAAAACACCGACAATGCAAACACTGCTTTGGTTGACGGTGTTACCATGACCACTAAAATGAATATTCATTGAAACATTGCAAGAATGCGTGAACTTTGCGAATTCGCAGTATTGATCTTGCCGACGAGACATACACTATTCTGTCATCTGTTAGTGGGGTCTGATGCTGTTCAGCCAGCGAGGGCGCCCTGCCACTCATGCCCACATGTTCTAGGATTTATTTCCTCAAAATAAAGTTTTTTACATTAACAAGATTTTTTTTTGTATTTAGGTGTTAGTATTTGAAGATGCGCCAAATGGTGTTCTTTCTGGACTAGCTGCCAATATGAAGACTGTATTTATTCCAGATCCTAGGCTTGATAAATCATTTTATCCAAGTGGTTCTTATCAGTTACTCACTTCATTGGAGCAATTTGTACCTGAAGAATGGGGTTTACCGGCATATAAACAGTAATGTTGTGCAGATGGCTACATCTTACAACAAAAATTATTCAAAAATGGCACAATATTTATTGGTTTCTTGCAGTTCTAAGGTATCATGTGTGTTTCAGTGCTATATTTTGAGAATATTGGCCAAATATAATTCAAAACAGTTTTAAAGAACATGAAATCAGATTTTTTTAAATAGTTCGTGATCTATAATTTGTTTGCCTTATGTCACCAGCTAACAATACATGATATGACATATCTCTATCACAGGAACATTGCCTTATGTCACCAGCTAACAATACAGGATATGACATATCTCTATCACAGGAACATTGCCTTATGTCACCAGCTAATAATACAGGATATGACATATCTCTATCACAGGAACATTGCCTTATGTCACCAGCTAACAATACAGGATATGACATATCTCTATCACAGGAACATTGCCTTATGTCACCAGCTAACAATACAGGATATGACATATCTCTATCACAGGAACATTGCCTTATGTCACCAGCTAACAATACAGGATATGACATATCTCTATCACAGGAACAAATGTTTCCAAAACACTAAAATGCAACAATTTATTGCAAAATAAATAAATTCTGTGTATTTTTATTTATGAGTAGACTTCTTTAGGTTATTAATTATTTACTACTACCAACTATAATTAAAGTAATTGCTTAAAATGATTTGTACACCTATAAATTGTCTTACAGGCAACTATGTATACATGCATATTTGGTATTCTCCTCACCAAACAAAACCAATGCAAAGTAGTCACTTATGTATTGAAGTACAAAACACAAATGTGGTGCAAACCAAGTTAAGCCATGGGGATGTAATTAGTACAAGACATAAATGAGTATGTCAAGAAATTTCAACAAAATATAGGAGAGATTAGTACTGAAACCATGTCACAAATACTCTTGCCAAGTTTTATGAATAATATACAGTTATTGAACTCGCCTAAGGCCAATATGAAAAATTATTGATTCCAAGTGGCTAAAAACCAATAGGAGAAAAAAATTCTCAATATTGGCTGAAACCAAGGACTATAACTGTTTTATTATTTCAAAGGGAAACAATGAGCTGAACTTAAGTTAAAAGCATTATTAAACGAATTGGGAAGTGTGCCGGATGTTAGGACACCACACACAAACCTCAGAGACCAAAATCAATATTTATCAAATGATCACATGACCATTTTGAACCAATAACAAGCGTCCTTCTCAAAAAAATTGGCTCTATTGTTTATCCAAAATTAAGCATATATTCTTTAATGCCCTGGGGAAAACCCTGAACATTACTGGGAATGATCTCATACTTAAGATATAATTTGTTTAGCTTCTGTGATATTTTGTCTATTGTAAACCCCATATTTCACTTTCAACTCATCAAAAATCAGTGAAAATAAATAACATACAAAACACTCAAAAAGTCTATTCAGCGAAATCAATTCCAAGCTAAAATATAGTATTTTGGCCAAGTACGGTGCTGTCATTTACACAAGTGTGAGCATTATATCAAATAACATACTGATATTTAAACATGATAATTTTGTGCAATAAATCTTTTCTTGTTCACTGCATGATGCCACATGTGCGAAAATCAATTGTCAAAATAGAACAAACAAAAGTCATCAAAACATCCCATTGAATTCAACAAACTCAAAGTTTACTTGTGTATTTCCAGGCTTAATATGTGCTACACACATTTGATGGCATCTTCTGAAAGACAGGCATTTCAAAATGAGCTATAGAAAAGAAATTTGAGTTCAAAATCAAATTATTTTCCTGCAATACAGAAGATCTCGCAGTGAACAGAAAATAACCTATTCAATACAAAAAACAAAATAACAAATAATCTCCTGTTTTGACTGAGTAAACTATTTTTATTAAAATTATGTAAATAAATAAAAAATATGAAATGAAAAATATAGTCCACTTTTCTAGGGTAGTATATATATATAAATTGGTGGTGACGAGTCGTCCAATGTACGCAATACTTCACACAGTCCATTTCAAGCATCTGAAAAGTAGAGAAAGCTTTTTAGTATTATTTCAATTGAATGTGTTCATATCATATACATGTATAGTCTAAATGGGTTTGTGAACACTGTCAAAAATAATTTTAAAAAATCCACCCATGTTCGGGAAAAGTTGTTCATTATATTATTGATATGGGCTGATACAATCCATTTAATTTAATTGGTATGTCAAAGCACAGTCCCTCTATCCCCGGTATAGAAATGGTTATTGTATTAGGTTTATTCACACCTACTCCCCACCAAAGCATTTTCATGTGATCAGAACGCAGTTGGTCACTATTTTTGACTATTTTTAATTATTTATTTTACTAGCAGCGACACATTTTCACAACAAATTTTCATAAATTTACCCAGAAATTGTTTGTGTTTGACTTTTAGGGTGATTGAAATGAACTCTATTTTATTTATCCTTCTTCTCGACGTGAAGCCGACATTTGTCTTTTATTTGACATTTTATGATCGAAACGTATCATCAAAATTTGGTGGGCTGATTTGTTATTTGTCACAAAGCATTGTATTAATTTAAATTGGGCGTTTTTTATGGATGCTCTTTTCTATCGTAAATGCAAATGGCGACGTTTTGAAATGACAATGTATTCTATTCAGTGCTAAAAAATCTATTTATATGCAAAAATTGAAGCATTGTTTATACTACTGTATCAAATATAGTCATTAGTTGTTGTATAGTATAAATTTTTATGTACCCCCAAGAATCAGAAATATCACAGGTTTTTCGATCGACCACGTTAATTCCCGATATTGATCTTTACATGGCAGGAACTAGACGTTTATGTTGGTAGGCTGCTTTTGATATGTATCGGGGTTCAAAAACGCAAAATTTCATAGTGCTAATTTTGTTTACATGTTTTGTTCACGTTGTAGTTCCCTGTAATATGAGGTCAAAGTAAAGCCATACAATGAGGTGTCGCTTTGCATGATGGTAAATTTGCCGATTTTAATGAATATTCTGACAGTATTGAAATTTGTCTGACTTCCTGACTCCCTCGGCCTGGGTGTGGACAGTTTGTTTACCTGCAACATGGTTTGAGACAAAAGAATGCTAGCCGTTTCCTGATAGAGGGACTGTGGTCAAACTAGTTTGACACTGTCAGCATTATAAGCTCTGACAGGGTGAAATGCCTTGCACTATGGTAAATGTGGGAGGATAATTATATTCAACAAGGTGATAGTACAATAGAATGAACACCCTGAGCCAAAGCCTGATCATTTTTTTATTGGCTTACATTTTGCAATGAAATACATAATATATATGTACATGTATGGGCTGATGTTTTCATGTGGAGAATTTGTCCATCCAGTATCTTGATGTGTTCCAAGACGTTTGATACAGCAATATTTGGCACCACAGCGAACACATACCTTGTATTTTGATGTGTTCCAAGACGTTTGATACATCAATTTTTGGCACCACAGCTAACACATACCTTGTATCTTGATGTGTTCCAAGACATTTGATACAACAATACTTGGCACCACAGCGAACACATACCTTGTATCTTGATGTGTTCCAAGACGTTTGATACAACAATACTTGGCACCACAGCTAACACATACCTTGTATCTTGATGTGTTCCAATACATTTGATACAACAATACTTGGCACCACAGCTAACACATACCTTGTATCTTGATGTGTTCCAATACATTTGATACAACAATACTTGGCACCACAGCTAACACATACCTTGTATCTTGATGTGTTCCAAGACATTTGATACAGCAATACTTAACACCACAGCTAACACATACCTTGTATCTTGATGTGTTCCAAGACATTTGATACAGCAATACTTAACACCACAGATAAAACATCCCTTACGAAAAAGTTCTATAGAATTCTATAGAAATCCAATACTTTATTACACTACGCACAAACACGCAAGATATTATTTTATATTTTACGAAAAACTTCTATTAAATTCTATTTATTAATAAATTCCATAGAAAATCTGTACAATGTTATAGAATTGTATATGTAATGTTGAATGTTATAGAATTGTGTAGAATCATATCAAGCACATGACTATCTACTTCACACTTTTTTCCCCTCATTAGTTTATACAACTGGTGACATTCACTTTAAATAATAATTCCTGTATATTTGTGTAATGATGTACATACTAAAAAAAAACTGCATGGAATTGATAAAAATTCACCCTTATAAAAAATATTGAAACTATATGTAACACTCAATTTATATTGAATTTCTGTGGAACTCTACGAAATTCTATAGAATTTTAGAGATTAAAATAATGGAATGGAGAGAGAGCAGCATTTACACATCACTAAATTGCTGATATATTATAAATTTACAAAAAAGTTAGGTTTTGATGTATTTTAATTTTAATGTCAAAGGATATTGACTCTCGGTGACATACTAGATTGCTAGATGTATTATAAATTTACAAAAAAGTTAGGTTTTGATGTATTTTAATTTTAATGTCAAAGGATATTGACTCTCGGTGACATACTTGATTGCTAGATTCACATTACACACATTTGGGACATGATTATAAACATTCTCAAATCTATTAGGCACAACCAAAATTGTTTTTAGAGAAGCCAAAAATATGAGGTAAGAATTTATTAAAAATGTCAAATTATATTTATTAACTCCACTGTTGACTTTGTTGATTGGAACTTATCATATTAGTGTCTGGCGTCCTCGCAAACTTTTTACTTTCTCAATTACTTTGATAACTTGGGGTATATGTACCTTGAGTAGACCCCTAGTAGATTAGTTTATTTTGTGATATCTTCAATTCTTTAATTTTGATGAATATTTTTGTCATTTGTTGGTAAAAAGTGATATTTTTGACTTCTCTGTTTTGAAAATATACATATAGGTACCTATAGTGGACCTCTCTCAGCTTTGTTCATTTTGTGATGATAACTTCAGTTCCCAAATTTTAATGAATATTTTTCTCATTTTTAGTATAAGGTTATGTGTTTGATGTCCGGTTGCTTTGAAACTATACATGTTTTTGTAAACAGTGATATTTTTTACATCTCGTTGAAAGTTTGATTGCTTTTATATATCGAACATATATGAACCTTAGATGGATATCTTCAATTCTCTAATTGAAATGTGCATAAATTGTTAACGTCTTAGTTGAGAGGCTGCTTGTATTATTTTATTTTTTATCTTCATTTTTATTATTCATAATATTTACACAAAAAAATACGACAGAAATGAATACATTAGCAAATACAAAATTCAGCAGTAGGTGTTCTTGTGTTTATTTGTTCCACTTATCTGTCTAGACATCTGTTTGCTGTTCCCCATTGATTTTTTGAAAGTTTTTTTGTTCTTGGTTTGTTTATTTAATATCTAATCTAATTTATACCAAGAGAGCACAAATGATGTTTTTGTTGGTGTGTAAAATGATAAAATGACAAATATAATTAGATCAAAATTAATATAATAATATTGAAAACAAACATATTGCAACCATCCCTCAGAAAGTATTCTCTTTG